CAGTTACTCACCCAAAACCACATAGAGACTGTGTCTGCCCCACGGCCACTTCAATTAATTAAATCATAAGTAAACAGTCGAGGAGTTAAACAAAATAACCTAATCCAAGTTAAAACTACCGCAACAGTGCAACAAAATAGGATCATTAAATGTGGACTCTTAAATATGAGATCTTTGTCATCTAAAGCTGTATTAGTAAATGAGCTAATATCAGATAATCATATTGATTTATCTTGTCTTACTGAAACCTGGCTGTGTAATGAAGAATATGTCAGCCTAAATGAATCAACTCCTCCAAGTCATATCAATACTCACATTCCTCGAGGCACCGGCCGAGGAGGTGGAGTAGCAGCCATCTTTGACTCAAGCCTATTATTAAAAACTATTATTAACCCTAACCCTAACCTAAACTAGATTATAATTCATTTGAAAGCTTGGTTCTTAGTCTTTCACACCCAACGTGGAAAACAATACAGCCAGTTATATTTGTTATAACCTGTCTTTACTAACAGGCCATGTACCACAGTCCTTCAAAGTAGCTGTAATTAAACCTCTTCTTAAGAAGCCCGCTCTTGATCCAGAGGTATTGGCTAACTATAGACCAATCTCTAACCTTCCCTTCCTATCTAAGGACAACTGATTACAGGTGTTGCTGACCTTGTTGTCTTTACTAGCAGCTGTTGTCCAGTTAAAGTCTGCATTATTACGGAGGAAGCAGCTGTTATTGGAGCGATCAGCGAGCGGCGTGACCAGCGGCGTTATCAGACCTACGGAGCGGCCGTCTGAAGTCACGGTTAGCGGCTTTAGGGAGGGTGATGGACACAAACGGAAGACTTTCCTTTCCTTATTAATGCTTATTTTGTTCTGCACATCTATTGTGAAGTCCGCAGATAAAATGTAAAGGAACTAAAGCAGTAATTGCTCTTCAGTATGACAGAAACTTCAGCCACCAGCAGAGCTACGAGTGAGAACAAACAACGAGGAAACGAGTGAGAGACGTGTGTTGACCACATTTATGGACCATAATCTAGTAAACCTTTATGTGCAAGTGTTGATTTTAAAGTGAATTTGATGTGTGAGAGAGATAAAGAGCAAGACCTGCAGTTAAGTCTGAAAATATAACTTCCAAAACTTTCCACGAACTGTGTCTGTTTGAGTTCATAGAGGAAGATTTTAGAGAAGATCTTAAGTATCAAACACGACCTTTCATTATTAAAGACTACTTTATTACTCTGTCCTATTTTTTTTAACTTACCAACCAATCTACTTCCTGTTTACACCGGCAACCATCATGCCCAGTGTAGGTGAAGTATGGACAGAGATCATTTAGAAAACGGTGTTGAAATGCCGCGTGGACGGAGATCGTTTGTTTTAAAACTCCGTTTTCAAATGGAAACGGAGTAGTATGGACATGGCCTAAGATCCTTGAGAAAGCAGTTGCGAATCAGTTGTGTGACTTTCTCCAAAACAATAATTTATTTGAGGATTTTCAGTCAGGATTTAGAAAGCATCAAAGCACAGAGACAGCTCTGGTAAAAATAACTAATGACCTTCTAATTGCATCAGACAAAGGACTTGTCTCTGTTCTTGTCCTGTTAGACCAGGGGTCGGCAAAATGCGGCTCTTCAGCCCCTCTGTTGCGGCTCCCTGGGTCTACATCAGGGGTCCCCAACTGGCGGACCGGATCCGGACCCAAATCCGATTGATAATTCAGAATTATACATATTAGGCACTGAGTTTATACTTTAACCGGCGCTTCTTATTCAGCCGTTACGGCACTTGTTTGGCGGTGCAGGAAACACACCGACCAATGCGTTGTAAATCACATCAGGTGATGCAGCTCAGCCAATCAAATATGGGTATTCTGACATGTTTCCTGACTCGAGTGAGGTTTACACATACCGTGACACGCGGGGGAGAGACGAGGAAATAGAAACAAGAGCAGGGACATTGCGCTAATCGAAGAAGATATTGTGGAGAATTTCAGTATTAAACGCATTATTAGTAGGATTTAATAACACCCCTAGTGGTGAGTAGAAGTGTCACAATAATAAATATGTTAGTCACAATATGTTTCCATATGGAATGTATTATAGGTTTACAATATTCTTGCTTATAGAGGATATTATATGTTACAGTATATTAACTCATTGAATGTATTAAATCATAGAAGTATAGTCACTGTAGGTATTAAAACACTAAGAATAGTTTTGAGGGTCAGATAGGGATTCTGAGTGAGGTGTCAGACATGCAGCAGCAAATGGAGGCGACCTCATCGATGGAGGATGGGGCCAGTGGGACGGTCAAATGCCAAGCTGACCAGCAGGACAGAGGAGGAGTCCAAGATGTTTTGCTAAGGGATCGATAATGGGAGGGGACAGAATTCAAATGGAGCCAATCACTAATCGCCACGGAGGGTCATTCACACGTTTTATGACAGTATCGGACACTTTCCGACTCTCAGGGGATACAAAAGACAATGTTTTAGGGAGTTTACCTCGGATCACTGCAGCTCTCATTTTCAGCTAACTGGCCGCGCCGGACTGTGAGGAGATGCGTGTATGTGGTCTCTGCTCTCGAGAACATTACTATTGATAGTTAATTCAGTTTGTAAGTGAACTTTGTGCAGTACATTAAATATTGTCTTTAATTTGAACCGGGTCCTGCTTATTCTTCTGATGCGCGTGCGCAGTAAGAAGCGCGCAGCAGAAGAGTACCTGCGGCCTGCAGGCTCCTTCATCCTTTGTTCTTAAAAACCTAACACTATCTCGCATGATTTTCTCCAAAAAGAGAAATGTGTTCAGAGAGAATATAATTTATAAGCAAGAATGAACAGAATCTTATATGTTAATTATTCCCACAGGTAGTGCGTGGACGTCTTCATTTGCTTTCACTGCCAACGATGCTGGCTTACCTGTATGCTTCCAGAACAAGCACACAGCATGTGCTGAAAAGTGTCACGCTGGAGATGAGCGACAAAGAGCGAATTCTCAGCTGCTGCAGCAAACTCTCCTCTTCATAAGAGTTTGATATTGTTATAACAGGTAAAATTGCAGTAAAATGTGAAGAATCGTTCTATATTTTCATAAATACAACAAACTATAGTTTTTGTATATATAATATAAGTATATATAACACTTTATAAGCTGTTATATCAAATAGCTTTTGCGGCTCCAGACGAATTTTATTTGGTGGAAAATAGGACAAAATGGCTCTTTGGATAGTAAAGGTTGCCGACCCCTGTGTTAGGCCTTAGTGCTACGTTCGACACTATAGACCACTACATCCTGTTGCAGAGACTAGAACATTATATTGGCATCAAAGGAACTGCACTGAACTGGTTTAAATCCTATTCATCGGATCGATCTCAGTTTGTATATGTAAACGATGAAACCTCGATGAAGACCAACGTTAGTCATGGAGCTCCACAAGGTTCTGTGCTTCGACCAATCTTGTTCACCTTATATATGCTTCCTGCTTCTGCCCAGCAGTCCACACACAGTACAACGCCCCAGATGAAACATAGAGAAGAGAGAAACTAGTGTGACACTAATTGACAGCAAAACGCAGTGAAGACCTTGTTATTTCTAAGGTCAAGAATGAACCCTCGATCCTCAACGCCTGTTTTGTAACGCAGGCGTTCTCATATACTGTATATGTATATTTTCCAAACAGACATTACTCTAGCAGGCTGTTCTCATCCAGCATTCCTAGCTATACCTATATATATGTGCTGTAATTCCACCATGTTCCACAAAATCATCGGGTTGGGTTAGGGGTTACCGGTATTTGTTCCCCATGTGAAACGAGAAATCAACTTAATTTATTTGTCACGTATCTTGCGTACTTTAGTAAACGCAACTTACGTAGTTATATTAACCTAAATGACGATCTTTTCCTCAACCAAACTAAGTAGTTTTGTCGCCTCGACCTAACTGAGTTGTTTCCTGTGATGACGGAAGTTTATTTTGAAAAGAGTATGTGCATGTAACCAGCAGAAATAGACATGACATGTTGCTGGCTTTTGTAGGAAAACGCATGAAAATGATGAGTAACTTTGCGTAAGATATCACACGCACCGTTGAATGAGGACATGTTGATCAAGCAATGTCTAAAGGCCGTCCATGTAACTTGAGTTATTCTCTCAGACTTGACCACCCTCCACCGGAGCCACTGTTTTTACTGGCTGGGTGGCACTACCTCGGATTTTGAACAGACAATAGTTTAGCCACGTCACGTTTTTAGAGATCTAGTGTGTCGGATCTGGCGGTGAGTTTGCAGATTGCTAACAACTGAAGCTTCTCCCATGTGCCAAGCGTGTAACTGCGGGGGGCAACTCTGACCTTGCATCTCATTGATATGTGTTGGCGAGCTCTCCTGTTGATTCCTTTATTTTGATCTTTTTATTTCCCTGCATGTGATTTGCATGTGCAAAGACTGCAGGTCATAGTTACTTCTCAAGCATGACTGATGTATTACACAGTATGTGCATGTTTCAACTTATATTTGTTGTGATGGTTATGAAAAAGTTTTCTATGTGTTCTAGTTCCAGTGATTTATTACAGCCATCTGATTGCACCACAAGTCCCAAGATGAACACACTCACAGAAACACACAAGCCAGCATCATGCATATTTAATTTATGCAAAGCAGGCAAATAAGTAAAACTTATGTAGTGTAACCACTTAAAAGAGCTGTACACATGTGTCTTAATGATAGTAGAATAGTGTGTGCATGTGTGATGGTTAGATATTCTCAGTGCAATAATGACAGCATGTACTATTCTGTCTTTCAAATCATTGTGTCTTTTTCAGAATACAAGTAAAGGTTGAAGTACTATGACAAACATGCATAAGTCATTTTAGTGTATTTGCTGAATGTATTAGTCTTAATTAAACACTAATATTCATCACATTCTGTATCTGTTTTAAAAGCGTGAATAACGGTGTGTGTTTGTTTGGTGATGCTTCTGGAGGTCACACTCCTGCAGTCCTGCTATCCACCACATCACATCTGCGTGTTCATGTTGCTGGTCCAATATGCAGTCCAATACTGCAGCCTTTTTTTGACAGGGAGCGCGCTTACAAATTTACCCTCCCGCTGCGCTCGCGCCCTGTGTCTTAAAAAAAACGCGTGCACGGCTGAAGGTCACTTAAACACAAAAGGCTTTCAGCGCTGCGGTCCAATATAGCGCATGCGCGCTGCCGGAGGACTGCTTCACAGACCGCAATATGGCGAGAATGCCTGCCAGCGGAGACACGGAGCAGGAGCGTATGAGCTGCCCCAAGAGGCGCAGGGAGGAGGAGGACGAGGAAGACGATGAAGATGAGATCCAGGAGGTCCAGATCACCGGGGAGGAAGAGGATGAGGAGTCCGATAGAGATGGCGTGGAGCTGGAGTGGGAGTCAGGGGGCACAGTGCTGGGCTCGAGCGGTACCGCCGCGGAGGTGCGAGCGGTCGTTATGCAGAATATGGACCGGGAAGAGGAGGAGGGAGAGGCGGACCCTCTCAGCGGCAGCGTGCCCGCTGGGCTGGAGTCTCACCTGGAGGGAGACCTTCAGCGGTCTGATCGGAACAAGCTGAGCGAGAACACCCGCCTTGCCACCCGGTATGCGGTGAGGATCTTCAGGGAGTACCTCAGCGAGAAAGCCCAAAGTCCAGACTTTGAAACTCTGGACAAGGAGGCGCTCTGCGCGGTACTGCGCTCCTTTTACGCGGAGGCGCGCTCCAAAAGTGGACAGTTGTACAGCAAGTCGTCCCTCATCAGCATCCGGAGCTCCCTGAATCGGTACCTGAACGAGCCGCCCTACTGCCGCACCTTGGACCTCACCAAGGACCCGGAGCTGCGCAGCGCCAACCTGACCCTGGCCGCGGTCATACGGAGGCTGGAGGAGCAAGGCGCCGGTCCCGTGGTGCAGAAACAAGCCATCACGCGCTCGGACCTGCGGAAACTGTACGAGTCGTCTGTGTTCAACACCGATACTCCGTTCGGGCTGCTCAACAAAGTCTGGTTCGAGACCTGTATGTATTTCTGCACCAGGGGCCGGGAGAACCAGCGGGAGCTGGAGGAGGACTCGTTCGGTCTCGCGGTGGATGAGGACGGGAGAAAGTTTGTCTATTTTAAAGCTCTCGGACCGTACCACAAGTCCCGCTCCGCCGCCTGGACCAAGAAGCGTCCGGACGCAGACGAGGACACCTTGCCGCGGATGTACGAGACCGGCTCGGAGCAGTGCCCGTACGCCAGCTTCGTCCGCTATGTGTCCAAACGGAACCCGCTCTGCAGGGCGTTCTTCCAGCGGGCGCGGGACCACTGCTGCGCGAGCGACGTGACGTGGTACGAGAACAAAGCTATCGGTAAGAACCTGTTGGGCACGAGGATGCAGATGTTGTCGCGCGCTGCCAAGCTCTCCAAGACCTACACCAACCACTGCATCGGCGCCGTCTCCATAGCGACGCTCAACAGCATCGTGGGCGCCTCGGGCTCCAGGCCGACGACGACAACGCTTTACGTTGCCTCGGAAACGGTCAACGGCCACGCGCAGTCCCACCTCCAGCTCGTGATCCCGTACCTCCGCCGGGCTACCGACGCTGCGGATCTGAAGCCTGCAGCAACAACAATAAACACATCATCATCATCATCAACATCAACAACGACAACGACAACGAATAAAGTCAGTGCCGAGGAGGACCAGGGGGCTCCTCACGCCAAGAGGCTGTGCATGCGCCCCGGGACACGCACGGAGTCGCCCATAGAGCGGAACCAGAGCGAGCCGGTGCCTGCGAGAGCCACGGAGTCCTGTATTCACACCCAGCCCGCGGTGAGGTCCCCGGTCGCTGCGCCCACACAGGTAACAGAGGACATGTGATCGTTTGTCATCTTCAGGAAGGCTGTGTGTTAACAGCTCGTGCGTAAAATCCGCCGCAGGCAAGGCCAAATGAGAGAGAGTGTGTGTGTGTGTGTGTGTGTGTGTGTGTGTGAGTGTGTGAGTGTGTGTGTGTGTGTGCTTGTGTGAGTCAAGTATGAATAATACTGTGCAGAAAAAAAGTTCATTTTTAAAATTGAGCTCTTACGGAGATGATCACTTTATACCAGGCATCACACTTCAACACACATCGCACTTTTAAGGAGGAAGTATTCTTTTGAAATGCTGTGCATATTGGCATGTAATGCATTACAGTGTAATGCATTACACTGTAATGCATTACATTACAGTGTAATGCATTACACTGTAATGTAATGCATTACACTGTAATGCATTACACTGTAATGTAATGCATTACACTGTAATGTAATGCATTACAGTGTAATGCATTACAGTGTAGGCCTATACTCAACATCAAAGTGTTATAGATGAAAGAGATGAAACAGCTTGTAAACAGTTTTCTAGAAAAGGTCATTGATAGTTGATTGATTTCGTGTGATTAGTTTACTGTAGTAAACTAATCACATAGTTGATCTGTCATGACTAGAAATACAGATGTTGTTTTTGTTTTTTCACACATTTGAAGCCCCTGCTGCATGGAGGATTTGAAAGCGGTGTCATCTGGTAGTCTGATACAGCCATTAAAGCTGCACTAATATTTTTATATTAACAGTGGGCCAACTCAGTGTGTGTAATATAAGCGGTGTCACCCGTAATGACAAACCCACAGAGGATTTTGCAGCCCCGCTCACCCTTATGCTGCGTTCACACCAAACGCGGCGCGATTTATTCGCGCGAGTAGATTACATACAAAGTCTATGCACAGACGCGAGGAGACTGTCGCGGCGCGAATTTGCGATTGCGCGGCGCGAACGCCAAATCGCGCCAAACGCGTGAGTTGAAATTTTTCAACTTCGCCGAAATATTCGCGTTACGCCCCGGCGCGATAGCCTATCAGCGTTGAGTTGCTCCCCCTGTCATCACTGACTTCCTGCCGTTGTTGAATCAGGAAATAAATACTGTAGCCGTCTGTGTTCACCCAGAGCTCTACGATACCTCATATCAATAGAGACCAAACTATGTGTATAAATGTGTGTGTGTAAACCATATGGTACAAACAATGAATAGACGCTGCCGTATTTACGTGTACATGACGTTAGTCTGAGTGTTGGTGGAGCTGCTACAATGTTAGTATAGCCTAGCACCGATCAGTCCGAGCTACATTGAGAAGACAAGTAGCCTACAAATCGGCATCATTACGTAGTTATTTCGGAGTCCCTTTTTGTCGGTTTATTGCCGTTAAATCACAGCCAGATCAGTTTATTTAGTGTTCATACAGCTGTAGTAAATAGCGACGTGTGGCTTGCTAGACCCAGTGAATACAGCTCGATAAAATCCACGGAGCTCCTCTGAACAATGTTATGAACCAGACATGACGGCGTTTAGTTTCCCGGGATATCTGTGACTTCCACAACACGTACTAAGCAGAAATAGGTTATTTTTTTCATGGTTAATGGCGGACAGTTGAACGGCTTTCAGGGCGATAAGCCCCGCCCCCTCTCCGGCGCGTCCAGCTCGATTCGCGCGAATGTACACAAATGGTCCCCGGCGAGACCGGCGGCGCGATTGACGGGAATATGCGGCGCGATGAATTCGCGTTTGGTGTGAACACGGCATTAGTGCAGTGGTGGGCCATCAGGGCCAACAAATCCTTCTCTGCTGGCCCAAACAGAATCACAAAGTTATATCTATTTTATAATTTAATAATTTTTCTTAAATACACTACATGTATTATAACTTATAAAAATATTTTCCCCATTATCTTATTTTCTCATTGCACAGCTACTGTCTTCCTCAGTTGCTCTGCTTCCAGTGCAGCTTGTTTTAAGTAGAGCTTTTATCCAATCAGATTTCACCTCTGTGTCTCTAGGTAAGAACAGAGGCCCGAGGCCTGCAGACTCACAAGTGAATCCCTTTGCAGTTTAAGTGAATGGGGACGATATTCTTGATTGTCCTAGTCTTCAACCAATCAGATCTTTAGTTTGACATGTGGGGCGTATTGTTTGACATGTCAGAGCTGTTTAGGTGGCCTACAAATACGTCAGCAATAACGTGCAGTGTGATTGGTCAGTGGGCTAGCGTCACTGTTGTGAAGCTGAAAGCTAGCAGAACTTAGTAGTAGTAGTGAGAGTTCAAGTTGAATGTAAGAAGTTATGACATTTTTAGCATTTTGCTTGGTGTAGCTTTGGTTTTTAACACTCAATGGCTGAAGGAGGAGGAGAAACAGTTTTGAGAGTTACTGGCAACGCCTTTCTGGAGAAGGACATTTCCAGACAAGCTGGACATCGTAAGAAAGGGTCGGCCAACCCCACAGCTAGCAGCCCTGACCCAGCCAGGAAAGGGATTTGTACGAACGGTATTCCTGGCTGACAGCGTCAGAGAAGCGTTGCACATTTTATGGCTGAGAATGCATTTTATTTGCAACTGAGCATCTTGGTGTTTGGAGCTACGCTACGCTAACCTGAGGTGGCTAACCAAGGCAGCAACAAGACACCATAGCACGACAGGACACTTACAAGCTACGGTGCTTTTGAAAACTTTTGCTGAGACCCGAGTGGATCTACAACTCAACGAACACATTCGCAGGAGGACCTCTGACTGGAACTGAACCGCACCGATGTTCTGTACAACCGCGTCATTACACTCTTTGTTAACAAAGAAAGGAGGATGGACTCTGTCTTTAAGTGAACTTTGGTAAGTGAAGTGCTTTTGTTTATACATCTGCAGTAGTGTTACTACTGTGTTCATTTGTCTATGTTGTCGTTTTTATGATCTGGTTAATATTGTTCCCTCTGATGTGATTAATATTTGAATGGTGCTCTTCAGTGTGTGGATGAATACGTGTTTTAGCGCTGCAGAGTTGTTGGATTGATTTGTTGCTTTGTTGTCATATAAATATATGTGACTGGTTCTTGTGAGTTTGTTCTTGTCATTGTGTTAATTACACTGATTTTGACTATAATGCATTGTCCGTTAATGACGAAGCATCCCATCATGCACATGTTCGTGTATCTGTTTTCTTTTACAAAGCAAGAATTATGGTCTGGAGAAATGGGGATTGTGTGGCGATTGCTTTAGCCCTGTTTGAATCAGTAGTGAACAGCTAAATGCTGTGGGGAGTGTGTTGCATGTGTGCTGCTGTTGTTTTCCTGCTAAGCTAATTTAGCATAGTGTGCGTCCCAGAACACACGTGCATCACCAGAGTACAATGTTGTTCTTCCGTGGTGGCAGCAGACAGCACGTTGGGTGGGTTGCCAGGTTGAGCGCAGTGGCTCCACCGAAAGACCATTATATTTCCCACAATTTAAGCTTCTGCATTTCCCTCGTACCGAACTCTTTAATACGAATACGTGTATTGTTACACCCCTAGAAACAAATAATAACCGTAGCCATAGTGAGGTTATTAGGAGGTGGTTCAACTGTAGTAGGACAGCACTGAAGGCCCAGGTATGAAATGCACGGCCCGCCACTGCTTTAGTGTTTTTCAGCTCGTTGTTTTGGTCTTATATGCCTCAACTTTATTGTTTTGGTTGAGTCTCACAGATCTCATTAGCACCATTTCCAGCAGCGGCAGGCAGCTGTTTAAGCCACTGTACACTTCAGCAGACAGACACATTTAGAGACCAGCGGTGTACAAATTGGGCAATTAGCAGGTAAAGATATTTCCTTCAAGAGTTGGTGGAGACCAAAAACAGAGCTAAAAGGAGAGAGAATATTGGACTCAGATTCATCACAAACACAACTTCAAATGAATGATCATGTTGCTGGATGTGTAAATAGACAAATGTTTATTAAAATGTTCACCCCCAAAATCTTTTTAAAGGGATATTATGTCATGTATTTACAGCTTGTTCCGACATGCCCAATAGTTAATTCAGAGTTAAGTATGTTATTCATATTTTATATCTATATTATTATTTTACATAAACAAGTTTCAGCCAGAAATAGACACACAAACAAACACACACACACAGAACAGTTCAGAGTAGTTAAGCCTCTGACCTTGCAAGACGCACAAGTGAAGTAGAAGTGAATAGGTTGGAAGAGAGCCGTTTGGAACAGAATAAGAGAAAAACTGCACAACAGTGGAAGACCTTATTTCCCAGCCTGTTAGGCACTGGGCCTCTTGCAGGTTGCCAATTGCTTCTTTCTGAGCTTAACGTTTTGCTTCTTTCCAGGCACCTGGCATTGTAAAAGTAGCCCATGGGGCAATCTGGAATAGCTGGTGCTCCGACAGAGCAAAGTCATATCTCTGTGCCTGACAGACTGTCCTCGTGTTTTTTTGCTTCCTGTCAGACCTCTGCCATTATCTGGCTGTCCCGAGGCTGCCCCGGAGCTACAGCTCTAAACTCATCAGCACTTCTCTAGAACTCAGTGGGTCAGACCTGCCAGCCAACCCATGGGATGTCACAGGGTACAGTGTGATTGGCTCACTGCAGGGCAAAGGTAGCCATGGAGACACTATATTGGCGGAACAGTATAGTCCCATAGGCCTGTATAAATAAATCATCTAAAATAAAACAACAGGGCATATTAAGCCCTCCGCAATGTTTGCTAATGTAGGGTTGCATTTAATTATAGTTGGGGGCAGCAGAACAAGATCTACAAATGACCAACTATTTAAAAAAAAGTTGTTCTTTTGCAAAAGGCAGTAAACAGGTGTCTCATTTTACATACCCAGCAGACATGAAGCTACATTAGCATTCATCTCCGCTCGTGTCTCTGGTCACCTAATATTTGGCTAACTTAATGTTAAATTAGGTTGTGCACTTACATCAACTAATGTTGTCATGTTGGCGATCTAAAATAAGTAGAATATTTTTTACAAGATGGTATGTATTGGAAATACATTGGAAATGTATGACTGGCCTCTGTTGACATCTGACAACCACACTACTGCTAATATTGCTGCTGCCACTGATACTACAGCACTATAATTACTTTTATACTGGTAATGCCACTACTGTGTGTGTGTGTGTGTGTGTGTGTGTGTGTGTGTGTTTTGTGTCCCAGGACAGCTGTGGCAGCAGCAGCAGTATGTCCAGTCAGCAGCAGGTCTCTGAATCTCCCCTGGGCTCTGCCGGCATCCCCACACCAGCCCAGCTCACCAAAGCCAACGCACCCGTCCACATCGATGTAGGAGGACACATGTACACCAGCAGCCTGGCCACCCTTACCAAGTACCCTGAATCACGGTGAGAGACACACATCCACGATAAAGAAAAATCATTTCAAAAGCGCTTGGTTAATGAATCAAGATTTTGAGGTTTGTATGACTTTCCCCTAATATAATACAATATTTACATATAATATTAATTTGAAATATTTGACAAGTCCATTTACTATCAAATTAAAGTGTTGTTACGGTTGATATTTTGCTTCACAGTTACATTAGGGGTAGTCCTAATCCTAACCCTATTGAGTGCTGGTGGTCCATTAACCACTCACACTGCCTTTTTCTGTATTCTGGCTAATGCAAATCTTAACTTATAAAGTACCTAAAAGGCAAGACAATGTGACCTCTCAAATCATTTACATTTTTTTACTTGTTTATACTACACTCATCCCGGAATGGGAAATTGGTCTCTGCATTTGACCCATCCCTGTCAATATATCGGGAGCAGTGGGCTGCCCATGACAGGTGCCCGGGGAGCAGTTAGGGGTTCAGTGTCTTGCTCAGGAACACTTCGACACAGGACACGTAGCAACCAAGGATCGAACCGCCGACTTCTCTACCTCTCTACCCAGTGAGCCACGGTCACCCAAATAATGAAAAGTTGAATATATACCCTGTAAAACCACTCCGGGGGTTTGCTGCTACAGTCTTACATTGTCTGGTATAACCTATGAGCTATAAAGGTCAGTGCAGTTGTGGTTTTCCTCTTTCCAAAATCTAGTGTGGATTTACTCCCTAAAGGGAAAGTTCACATTTTTTTCAAGTCTGAAAAATGAGCCGTATATGTGCAAGAGTAACCATTCCTCCTCTTCATACTGTCCGTGAAGCATCACCCTCCTAGTACAATGTTAGAGATAGGGGACAAAACTCATAGTCCTCAGTCCACAGTTCTATGTTACAATGCATTTTAAAAATACATTTTAGTCTGGAAAATACTTAGTAACATGTGAGTGCCACTGGAGGGCTCCGATGGACGGCACAGACACAGACTTGCATGTGAACAGGGTCTAATTTAAAACAAACTTCTGGCCACACAACAGAGTTGCCGTGCGGGTATGTCCCTCTGGACTTCCTTTCTCCTCCCCTCGCCTGGCACCTGCCTCTGCCAGATTGTGTGTCAGTTGTTCTGGACCCAGCTTCACTGTGATACTTAAGCACGTTATTGCAGCATGCATGACTAACAGTCAGGCCAAATACTCACAGATGTGTTGACCTGCAAGCCTCTGCAGCCTCTCTCCCTCTGCAGCTGATGTCAACCCTAACCCACACTGCCACAATACTGTCACGTGATTTGGCTAGGAAAGCTCTTTTATTGGCTAGGAAGTGGGGAAGATTATTACAGTGGCCAATAACTCTTTCAATGTACATACAGTATGTATTAAGATAGACATAGCATTTTGAACTACCATTTTTCTCATCAGATACCGCCACTTGGTCAGTGGCCTAAGGTACCTAAGGTACCCCTTTAGTGTCAGTTTCCCCTTGTTAAATGCAATGTCTGTAAAAATTAAATTCAGTGTTAACAGGATACATATAGTGTCAGCTTGTCACACGAATACGGTGTATTTTCAAAGAAAACTTCCAACATAAGTTTACTTAGTTTTTAAGTTTACTTATTAAACAAAAGTACTTGGTTAGGTTTAGGCAACAGAAGTACTTGGTTAGGGTTAGGCAACAAAAGTACTTGGTTAGGGTTTGGCAACAGAAGTACTTGGTTAGGTTTAGGCAACAGAAGTACTTGGTTAGGGTTAGGCAACAAAAGTACTTGGTTAGGGTTAGGCAACAAAAGTACTTGGTTAGGGTTAGGCAACAAAAGTACTTGGTTAGGTTTAGGCAACAGAAGTACTTGGTTGGGTATTAAGTCTGCTGTGTAAGTTATGTAACAAAAGTCAAGTAAAATAATTCAAGGTTGACTTGATTGCACAATGGACACGAACAGCGGTCTCCTGGGTGAAAGTTCTGTTTGTTTGACCCATTCATCCTACCCTACAATCCCACCCTTCTCTAATGTACCCGGTCTTTATACTATGTTACTTGCTATGACGATATAATAATGATAGGGATGGCTTTATATTGTAGTTATTTGACAGCCCGGTGTGTCTCATACAGACGCTACAGTTTGTCTCGATGGATGTATTGGTTGCATTGGAATCAGATGCAGAGGCGCACTGACCTAGCATTGGCAGTTGAAGAGTTGGAAGTGAGAACGGGTTGAATACAGCAAGTTAAGCTGCTGCATCATCTCAGCAACTATACACTAAAATAACAATCCTTCCATCTGCAACTTTTAAGAGTACAAGAATAAGAATGAGATTGAAAGTTGGCAAAAAGCTTTAATTTGTATAAGGTCTGAACATTCAGCTGCAGCAGTAGACTTTAGGACGTCTCTGGCCAGCAGACATGACAACCTCTCCAACATTTGGTCATTATTTGATGAAGAAGCCTCTCTGTTTTCATCTTTATTGTTTCTGGCAGGATCGGCCGTCTGTTCGAGGGAACGGAGCCCATTGTGTTGGACAGTCTTAAGCAGCACTACTTCATTGATCGAGACGGCCCCATGTTCCGCTATATACTTAACTTCCTCCGGTCCTCAAAACTCCTCATCCCCGATGACTTCAAAGTGAGTGTCTAGAGCTTTGATCAGGTACTACCACAGTTTATGTGAACAGTTCCAAAAGACAGGGAATCCAATGAACTCTTATACATGAACTGTCCAGACTGTCAGAGGAGGGATTTTAACTTTTGTCACATTTGAGCATACAGGCCACTTATGGAAAATATCCTGAGAACTGCTTTGAATATGGTATGACTCAGAACCTTTCAGACAGCCTTCAGTCACTTTACAGTGCCTTGCTGAAGGGCACAAAACCTTTTACAATAAAACAAGCTTTTGTTATATATATTACATATTTTGTTTTCTTTACTGTAATAACTTTCCATATAGTTATTTTTAAATAACTATCCCTTTAGATTTGTTACATTATGTATAAGAGTTTACTTTGCACTTCTATGATATTATACATATTTGTTGCATTAAGCCATTTCTACTTAACCAAACGCAAAAGAAGATCAATAGCATAACTGACTGCACTCACATGAGTGTTACTCTATTATGGATGTTACTATTATATAACCACTGTCTGACTTATTGTAAACAAACAGTATTTACAGTAATTGTGTCTAAATATTTGCACCTAGAAACATTTTCAGCCGCATATTCTGGCATTGACTTCAGAACTGGAAAGCTACTCCATGTGAGCTGAATTATCCAGTCAGAGAAACTTGAATTCTCTACCTTTCGTATACCTTAATTCATTCTCATAATTATGTGGCGCACACACAGATAAGAACATGAAGACATTATCTTTAGATTTGTTTTGGTTATGTGAATATAGCATCTTTCAAATGCATCTGATGGAATATGTTTTTGTTTGTAGAAAATGAAAATGAGTGCTTTCACATGACTTTGTTGTCGGTCCAAACAGTGTTATAATTCCTTGCCTTGACACATAATATGTTCTTTGTGCACTTAATAACCTTATTTAATTCACTCAAAAGCCAATGCAGACTACAAGGCATTGTTGACATGTTGATGTGGCTACAGTGCAGAAATGACACATGTGATCTCAAACGATGTGCACTTATTACATTGTTCCAGTTAGAGGGATCCCTGACTGGAGCAAATAATCACTACTGTACAAGATATGTATATACTAATGTTGAGCTAGAAAAGTGCACTTAGTAGAGTGCAGATCTGCACCAGGTGTGTCTCCATCTCCCCTCACAAACAAAGAAGCCCATCGCCCTTACAGTCAAGATTGTGGCAAAGATAACAAAAACAGGGATTTATTTATCTGGTATCATGCCGAACTTTGGTGGATCATAACATATGGGGTAAGGACATTTGCAGATGCTCCAGTTCAAAATGGGTCCAAACTTTGCCGGAAATAAGTTTTGCTTCTGAGGCAGTTGTTGATCACTTGCGGTTAAGAGGACTGAGGAGTAAGCAGTCAATGAAATTTCAAAAATTGTGAATCACAAGTGGTCATTGCGCGTACAGTCATAAATAAGTACAAACAAACAAAGGCGATTATTTTAAGCTAAATATGATAGATGTGGACCTCTCACAGTCACTGAAAAGGCTCACTTATCGTGACTGTATCATTACTTTGTTTATCTATGTCGATTAATGCTCTGCTTATGTATGTGTGTTTGTGTGCTTGTGTCCGTGTGTATGTCTCTGAGCTTGTTTTCATGTATATTGTGTGTGTGTGTGTGTTTGCAGGAATACTCCCTGCTGTTCGAAGAGGCCAGTTTCTTCCAGCTGACTCCTCTGCAGGCTGAGCTGGAGCGCTGGAGGACCAAGCAGGAGTGCGGGGGGGTGTCTCTGGAGTGCGAGTGTGTCGTGATTCATGTGGCTCCGGAGCTTGGTGAGAGGATCAGCGTAAGCGCCCACCGGGCCGTGATCGAGGATGTTTTTCCTGAGGTCAGAGACTTCATATCCAAATCCTTGAACACCAGCTGGAACCAGGACTCTGCACACATCATTCGCTTCCCGCTCAACGGCTACTGCCACCTCAACTCTGTCCAGGTACAAAACACACTCTGGGTTCAGATTTCAAACCCTTTAACACCAATGTTTGTTAGGGATCAGACAGTAGTGACTAAACTGTTTTCTCAGGATCAGGTTTTCTGTCAGCGTATTTTGGCACCGTTGCTCCCTTTTCTTGACTTTCATCTTCTGTGAGCAATTAAATGACTTACAAGAAACAAACTACTAAGGCTACGAGGGACTAAGGCTTGGACATGGTTAAAAATAGGCTCATTGTTCATATTGATGAAACACATGTTGGGGAACTACGGCCAAGACTCCAGATTACAAGACAGCAAGTTGTGTAGTGTGAACAGGAAAGAGATCTGACCACTTTGAAAGTTGTGTAGTGTGAACCTCGCTTAAAGTCCCAGGGAAATGCCTTAAGCTTCTGTATCGTTATGTTTTCCCCCAGTAAAGCAGAATATTTGAGCGGTGAACAGTATCAAGAGGGATTTCAATCAAATCCTTCGCAAGGACCTCAAAAATAATGCTTTTATTATCATTATTATTCTATTGTATCAACTGCTGCTGTTTTTATTAGTAGTCGTACTTTTTCCAGCATTATCCTGCTTACTCTTATTATATTAATCATTTATGTCGCATGCATTGAATGTGTTGTAACTTTGTTCAGAAGTCACTGAGTTAGTCAAAAAGCTCCACCAGGGCTGGAAGACATTTGCTCTGAGATGCTAAAGGCTCCAGACATTATTGGACTGTCTTGGCTGACATGTCTCTTCGGGTTTATGTGGTGTGTTCCAATTGCTGTGCTACGTAAGTGCTGGAAAGGAGGCTTTGACCGATTGTCGAACATCAGATTCAGGAGAAGCATTCAATGCGGATTCGGTCCTGGCAGTGGAACAGTGTGCCAGCTCTTTACCCTGGGAGGGCTGTTGGAAGAGTCATGGGAGTTTACTCATCCAGTCTACATGTGTTTTGTGGACTCAGAGATGGCTAACAACCGTGTGCCCTGGGCTACTGCGGGAACGTGGGGTACCGTGGTTGTTGCTACGAGCCATCCTGTAAAGTCGAACTGCGCAGCAGTGTCAAGCAGTGGGAATGAGACTCAGTACCTCCAAATCTGAGGCCATGGTTCTCTGCCGGAAAATGGGGGATTGAGCCCACAGGGTTGAGACAGTTAGTCACTGCCCCAAGCGAGGGACTTCAAGTATCTCAAGGTCTTGTTCACGAGTGAGGGTAAAATGGAGCATGACATCTGGAGGAAGGTCGGATTAGAGCTGCTGCTTCATTTTGTGGAAAGGGGCCAGCTAAGGTGGTTTGGGCATCTGATCAGGATACCTCCCGGACGCCTCCCTTGAGAGGTTTTTAGGCGTCCAACTTGTAACTGGATGGATGGAATTGATCTTCACCCTAACCATAACCCAACCCTCTCATGAACATATATTTGAACTCATACAATCAGACATTTTTACTAATGTATTTGAACTCACAATCACACATTTTCAGTCTCATGTACACTGCAATAACACATGACAAAAGAATTCAGACCCTTAACACAATCTTAGTTAAGGTAAGCTTTAAACACCTGCATTTTGGAGAGTTTCTGCCATTCTTCTCTGCAGATCATCTCCAGCTCTGGTTGGATCACCCAAGGGCGTAGGTTTGCATAGGGTCCATAGGGACTAGTCACGACCAAAGTTTGGGAAAGACACAATTGTCCCCACCAATATTTTGTTAATTTGAATTGCCTGTTAGAAAAAATAATTTTGCACAATATATTTGCAAAGTCATTCGTATTATTATTAGTGCTGGGCAAGTTAACGCGTTATTATCGCGTTAACGCATTAATTAATTAACGCCGACAATTATTTTTTTGCAAGTTTTTTTTATTTTCAAAATCCGTTGCTCACTGGCAGCGGTGGAGGAATGGAGACTACTGGACATCGCTGCGGTAAAGTCAGCAGACACTCAGATCTCTGTGGTCAACTTAGCAGACACTTACATGTTAGTGCACCTATATGCTGAAATTTACTGTAAATGCATTCAAACGTCACAGATCGGGAGCGAGAAGGACTTTGAAAGATTAACGTGAGAAAACATCCGGTTTCTTCAGACGGACATCCGGTTTTCAGAATAAGATGCCAACAAAGTATGAATTATATTCACATTAAGTATAAAACATGCTACCTGCATCTTGTGAGTTAAAGGGAAAATACACCTAAATTGTGGGTAAAGTGTCTTTATTCTTTGATCGCTGGGTCACCATCATCACCTCGGAGTGACAGCATTATAGTGATGAACAGTAGAGCTGCATTCACATGCTCTGACTGTCATGAAGACAGACATTTTTGCTGAAGCGTGCTGAAACATTTTATTCCTGTTGCACAGCAGTGGAACGTTTCACATACAGTCAGCACACTGAGCACAGATAGTGAAGAGATAGAACTGCTGCTGTGTAAAGAGAATACTGCTGTTAACAAGTACCTGATGTGTTTAAAGTGTTTACAAACCAAATGTTATTGCCCTTTTGTTCATATAGCAGTACTTTTAAAACAAAAGTGCGCAATACACTACTTTTGAATTCATTATTGAACTTTGCCATAACAATGCGATTAATCGTGATTAATCGCAAAAAATCCATGCGATTAATCGCGATTAAAATTTGAATCGTTGCGCAGCACTACTAATAATTGGAGGAAAGCACTTTATTTGTAGCCTATTAAGTGCTGCAGAATAGATTTATTTTTTTTGTCTTTTTTTGGCTGCACAACTGGGAAAAGTTTTTTATATATATTTTGGATATAGAATATACTGTTACTGTATATTGGCATTTTAGCAGAACGTTTTTTATTCATTTATTTAATTATTTATTATTATTATTATTAATTTGGTGCAGAATACTGTTTTGTATTTAAACTAAGGTTTTGTTACTGTTATTATGTTTAAATCAGCTCAATATCAACCAGGGGCGTCGTTAGGCCTATTTTAGGGGGGCTGAAGCCCCCCTCAGATGTTCTTCAGCCCCCCCAAATAATTTGGCATTATTGGCTTTAAAAAAAATAATATCCAAAATATTTTGGTGATGTCATTAAATGAAACTATTGTTTCTCACATGGACAAGTTATTTATAACTCTAACATGCTACATATGTGCGTGCGTTCTGGTTTGTATGTTTTCTCGCCCTTCAAATTACAATCCAATAGCCAATCATCATACTAAACGATACAAAGTTGACACTGTCAGGTCCATTCTCCATCCATTGTGTGCAGTCCCTTTAAGAATTAGGATTTGGGAGTGACGGGGATATTCTTTATTTGAGAAAAGTTCATATTTGTGTTGTCAAATTTCACTATGACCCTCAAATTCTGTCTGTTGTGTTATCATATACTGGATGCAAGCAAAACTACAGAGCAAAATCACACTCTTTCTGATTGAACCAATCTATGAACTGTCTGAAACAATGGATATCCGCGGCCCCAAATGGGCCCCAAATGGGCCCCAAAAACAATTGCCGCGCACGCAAACATGCCACTCCCCTTGGGCCTAAGCCCCCCCTTTCTTTGAATCCTAGAAACGCCCCTGATTTATCAACTAAGACTTTTTTTTAGATGGCGGGGGGGACAACTGGCAGTGTCCCTACCAATGCTGAGACCAAACCTACACCCTTGGGATCACCGTCCATCAAATTTGATAGGAAATGTGTTTTTCTTGAATTTTCAGTTAGTTCGGTTCACTCAAAGAGCCCTTTATTATATTGAAAGTGTTGAGAATCAGCCAATGACTTCCTGTGTGGAGATACATTGATGGCTGACACATTTCATTACTGTATGTCTGTCTGTCTATCTTTGTCTCAGGGGAAATATCAGTCAGACAGAGATGCAGTCAGAGGAACAGAGGACTCCTGAGGGCAAACTGAGATAATGTCACCATGTTGTTCCCTTTGGGGAGGGAGAGAGAAACTAATGGACTACTTCTGAAGTAGTTGATGTTTCAGCCCAGATTGTGAAATGGATTTTACCTCGAGAAAATGAAGAGTGACCCAAAGCCCAGGGGCCTCTTTCTTTCTCAGCTATTGTTAGCAACACATGTACACAAACGCAAAATAAATTGCAGACTATATCAGAGAGATACACAACTGATCACATTCACACTGATCACACGTAACTATCAGTTTTATTAGTAGTATTGCACCTCCTCTTTAGAAGAACATGTTGTGATTTAACTGTCCACCAGACGAAGACGACATGTACACAGCATTTAGTAAAAAATAGGGATAAAACATAACCAAATACAAAATCATAAACAATTACCTGTTTATTACCTGCATTTTCTGTAATTAGTTGCATTTTTTGTATTTGGTTGCTTTTTCTGCATTGGGTTGATTGTCTATTTGCTGTTTATCACACTTTTCACCACCGTGTCCGAAGATCCAGCACGCAGCCATGGTCCCATTGTTTACACCAGCGACCAGCTGTTAGCGTTCCGGGACATGGCGGTGCTGCAACCAGAGGAGAGACCCGAGGTTCCCCGCGAGCTAAGAAGGAAGAGACGGGGATGCCGAGCTGGGGCAGAGCGTCATGCCCCTCCGTCCTCCACTCTGCCCACATTCACCCAGTATGTCACATGCCACACCAGAGACAATAAAACACTAGATCTCTTCTATGCCAACACCAAGGAGGCATACACTTCATCACCTCTACCTCCCCTGGGAAGATCTGATCACAACCTGGTGCACCTCCTGCCTGTGTACAAACCTCTTGTACAAAGGCAGCCAGCTGTGTCTCGCACAGTAATAAGATGGTCCGAGGAGGCTCTGAAAGACTGTTTTGACTCTACTGTGTGGGAAGTATTCAGTAATGACCATGGGGAGGACATTGACAATCTCACTCACTGCATAACGGACTACATCAACTTCTGTGTGGAGAACACCGTACCTACCAGGACTGTACGGTGTTTTTCCAACTGTAAACCATGGATCACTCCTGAAATAAAGGCTCTCCTTAAGGACAAGAAGAGGGTCTTTAGATCAGGAAACAAGG